CCTGCTGAAAAGCAGCTCTTCAGGACTTGTTCATTTCCTGCAGTTGGGATTTGAGGGAGTCCTTTTAGCCACAAGGAAGATAAAAGCCCTAAAACGCCAGCCTTGAAAAATGTTTCTGCTTCTGAATTCCCACAGTAATTCCAGTTATCCAGGCCTTCACTCCTCTCCAGTTATTCCTGAAGTAGTCTGCAGACAGCTGGGGGGGTGGAGAACACACAGCTGGGAGCAGAATGTGTGAAGTGCCTTTGGAGTTTCTGTTCATGCTGCTTCTGCATTGAACAGTGTATTAGAAATCTCTCTAGATATTAGAAATCTAGAATTTCAATAGAGAAAGAAGCTGTGAAAAAAGCTTAAGACTATTGGTAATCTGAGAATGTCCCTGCCTGGGGAGAGGGAGTAAAGATTGAACTGTGTTAGACATAAAAACCTCAAGGTTGAGAATTGGAGAGAAGCAAAGAGCATGTTTTTGAAAAGAGAGGCAAGGGTGCTCAGAGTGCTGGCAGCTGCTCTGATGCCCTCTGGGTGTGGATCAGAGGAGGCGAGTTGTGTTTCCATGTACTCCTGTGATTCTCTGTCTCTGTGTGTTTACAGATAGTTCTGTATCTGTCTTCATGAAATAATGAAATATAAATATGATTTTTAACTTTTTGATGTTTGCTTCCCACCCAAATCTCTGTCCCTCTCTTACTGTCTTGTCTCTGTCCTGCTGCCTGATGTTTGGATCTTCACATTCCACAGGACTTACCTGCTAGATGGGTTAGTATTGAATTTTATATCCTTAAAAGTGTGATGTGTTCTGCTCTGTCTGTGTGTTTTCTTCTGTCACTACATCGCTTGTGAGAGCTGTTCTGGAACCCCTTTTATTTGGAAAGAGCAATCTGTGGCTGAGGTGCACAGGCATGGGGGACAAGATTTTGGAGCAGATGAAGTATAAACCAGTAGAAACAACAATTTCCTAGTCAAAAGCAGAAGCTGTTAATGGGTAGGCAGTGACATGCCGTGGAAGTCCTGACTCTTGTTCTTGCTTTCACTGAGGCCTGCACAAGAAAAGGCTCTTAATCTTGTGAGGCTTGGGAGAACATTCAACAGTCTACCTTTGGAAAACAGCTGATATTCCTAATTTTTCAGCATTTGGAGACTTAATGCAATAATCTTCTCCATTGTAACTGTTCTCAGAACAATTAAAGTCCCAAAATACTGACAGTTTTTGGTAAGAAGGAAGACCTCTATAAAGAGGCTTTACTGAAATTATGGATCTTAAGACTTCCACAAATACAAACTGCCCATTTCTTCATCTGCTGCATAACTGTGCCCCACAGAGATTGTTCTTGAGAGGAGAAAACAAAACCTTCCAACATCAGCCCATGGGCCTGTCTGTGTCTGCAGGCAGTTTGATGCCTGTGGTTTTAAATCCACTTCATGCCCATGGGAATAGCTCCTGCTGAGGATGCATGCTGGTCATTTGTCAAGAAGTGGAAAGGAAATCATAAAATCCTTGCAAAAGTCTCCAGGCTACCAAACCCTCTGAGAGTGTGTCCATTTAAATTTCTTCAATATTAAAACTCTGTGGCACAATGGCAGCTTCATAATAGGACATGTTGGAAAACACTAAGAGTGCAGGGGCCTGTGTGTCAGCCCTGGGTGAAATGCTGGGGCCTTTCCCAGAAAGAGAGAAGCTTTTAATAATAAAAGGGTGGGATCTTTGCAGGTAAATGTGCTGCTTATTTGCTCTGTACTGATCACAGCTTATCCTGCTTTGCAGTTTCTGCCATATACAAATAATTTGCCCCATTTTTCTTGTACAGTTTAATGGAAGTGAGCAGATTTTCCTGGGATGGATGCTGAATTCCCTGCTCCTTTGTAGCCTGGTGGTGTAGATTAGTCTTGGTATCCAAGAAAAAGTGAACAGAGAGGAGCCATTTACTAAAAGCTGTAGGGTCAGAGTTGGAGATCACCATGCTAGGCTCTCTTGTTGAACAAATTACCAGAAGGCTGCTGATACACCAGGCAGTTTGTCCTTAATTCTGCACGAATAGATTAAAAATGCAGCTTTAGCTCAAAGAGGCATTGGCTGTGCTTAACCTGCCTTGGCAGGAGGGAAGCTGGAGCTTCTGAGGAGTTTCAAGGTCAGAGTTGCCATGTGTGCACCTTGCTTGGCAGTTGTGCTGCTTGTGTGTGCCTGGCACTGCCTGGAGCAGGTTTCCTTTGGGGAAGGAAGGAGTTTAGGAAGAAGAAATGCCTTTAAAGAATATGTAGATGAGTTAGTTGCAAGACTTCAGTTAGTCTTTTAGTGAGACTTGCTTTATCTGGTGACATAATAATACGAAAATAATAACAGGTTATTTTTGTATGTGTTCAACCAGCATTTGAATGATTTATTTTTTTCATTAAGCATTTGCTTGTGTTTGCTTGAGGTGCTGCTGGCTTGGGATGTGGCTCCACTGCAGTGGCCGTGTTTGGGTGTGTTCTTTCCTCTGTTCTTCCTTTCTTCCTTTTTGGAATTTACTTGATTTCTTTTCTTTGACTAGCATAGCATATCGTCGTGTCATTCGTGTCTATCAGTATGAAGTTGGGGATGATCTATCTGGAAGGTTTTTTTCCTCTTATTTTCTTACCTCACTTTGGTTTTCAAATGCACTCTTTAATTCCAAGGCTCGCTTTCCTTCCAACTAACTTTCACGGCTTAGAGGTGCTTGGAAGTTTGTTTCCCTGTTGACTCTTTCCACGGTTGGTTCCCAGCTTCCCGCTCAGGGTTTGGGGTGTGTGGTTCATCTTCAGCCATGCATTGAACCTCAGCTCTAACCCTGGGGTGAGGAACACCCAGATGTTTGGTGTTTTCACTGCTACAGAATGATTCAGCACTTGAAATCCCTTTCTGGAGAAGCTCCTGCAGGACAGATTTCAGTAGGGATGAAAACCCAGATGTAGTTAATGAGGTCCTAGTGACTGGTGTGGGGCTGCAGTGTGCCCAGAAGCTCAGCGTAGCAATCAGACCAAGAGGGGTGGCTGTGTCTCAGGTTCTCTGGGCACAGGATGGGAGAGGCAGCTGCCCACCAACCACTGCTGTGGAGGAGAGGCCTGCAGTTTTCTGCAGAGATCTTGCCATATTCAGGATACCTTTAAGCCAAACCAGTAGTTTTCAAGGTCATTTTCCCCCATTGTATGCCCACATAACACACCTCTGTAGAGCTCCTGTACCTTAGGGCAAACACAGCCCAACTCCAGCAAATCCCCTGTAGTTTGTGTGTGTGTCTGTGTGCTGGGCACTGTGGGGTGGGACTGCACTAAGTCTCTAATGTCACTGGGTCCAGTAAAGCTGCTGCTTTGGATCTGGCATGAAGTGTGGCTGCTGATCATGTTGCCTTTCAAATGGGGCTAGAAATTAACTCTATAAATAAGAATCAAACAAGATGTACATGTGTCAGTCTGAAACAGGATGAGTCAGAATAAACAAAACACAAAAACTGCTTGAACATCTACAGGAGAATGATAGTGCTGTAAGGCTTTGTAACTTCAAGGAAGGACTGTTAATTTCGAGCCCCACCTGCCATTTTTTATGGGATAAGTGCCCCTTCTCACTGAGGTTCTGTGTTTAGGTCTTGTATGGTGGAAGAATCAGGAACACTGGAATCACAGTTGGAAGCTACTAAAGTAAGTGTTCACCTAAAACACCTTTCCCAGCTTGAGGACTCAAGAATTCAGGATGGGAATGGAAATGCATGTAATTATATGGTAAAATCTCAATTGATTTTACACGTATTGAGCACTGGAGAGACCGTTGGGATTATCTGTGTACATATCTGATACCTGTTTTTATCAGACCTCACTGAACAACAACTGAACAACTTTGTAGTTTTCCTTTCTGTTCTTCTCAATGAGCAGGGAAGGGCAGACAGGAAACAATATTCTCAGCATGTTTCAGAGATTTTTTTTTTGTCTGAAGAACTGGTTTTTGAACCCTGTTGGTTTCCAGTAGTGTGCATGAAGAGGAACATTGCTTTGAATACTATTTTACAAATCCCAGTATATGTATATATAATCCCAGGAGAAAAAGGGGAATATGACCCTTCTTCCTTCCCTGCCAGACCATGCTCTAACTTATTAAGGTGGGGTTTTTTTGCACTCTTGATTTTCTCCTTGTCACTTCTTCCCAACAGCGCAAGCACCAGGAGATCCGAGCTATGAGGAGCCAGCTGAAGAAGATTGAGGACCTTGGAGCAGCCATGGAAGAGGCACTTATCCTGGACAACAAATACACAGAACACAGCACTGTGGGGCTGGCACAGCAGTGGGACCAACTGGACCAGCTGGGGATGAGGATGCAGCACAACCTGGAGCAGCAGATTCAGGCTCGGTATTGCCCACCCCACCTGTGGGATGATGTGTGTCTGATTTGGGGGAGATATGAGATGGGAGACACATCTGCCTGGGTCTGACAGCAAACCTTGCATGGTCTGTGCTGATGAGTCTCTCCTGTGCTCTGACCAAAGAGTGTAGTGAGCTTGGAAATCCCTGCTACCTCCTGGTCCTCTTCAGAGTGATGGAGTTGGCAGGTTTGGAAATGGTTCCTGTTGGTCATTAGCAATGATGAGATCTTACAGGAATTGATTTACTCTGTTGAGCTGTGGTGTTTGCTCATCTGTCCTCACCTGATGCAGACACTGGCGTGGGGCAGATGGACTTCAGCAGAGTTCTGCACTTCAGGAACTGTTCACAATCCTTGCTGCTTCCTTTTCAGAAACACAACAGGAGTCACTGAGGAGGCCCTGAAGGAGTTCAGCATGATGTTCAAGTGAGTAGCAGGGAACACATGCCAGAGGAAAGCTCCTGAGAGCCTCCAAGGCCACCCGAGAGTCTTTCCTGGGCACACTCGTGGGTGGGCACAGTGATGTAGGAACTGGGAGTGCCACTGAATTCCAGATGGAATTCTAAAATTCTAAAAAAAGTAGCCATTTTTTAATGCTTTTTAAGCAAAGTACAGAATTTGTCTTTATATATTATGTATGTTAGGTAGAACTATTTATTGACTCAAGCTCCTTTGTTCAGAATAGTGGGCTAGTTGGAATCTGGTTTAGTTCTCAACCCATTTTATAGCTTTCAGTACTCAACAACTGACATGTAAAACTGTGGGATTTGTTTTTAGGCACTTTGACAAGGACAAATCTGGGAGACTTAATCACCAGGAGTTTAAGTCCTGCCTGCGATCTCTGGGCTATGACCTGCCTATGGTTGAGGAAGGAGAACCAGACCCAGAGTTCGAGTCCATCCTTGACACTGTGGATCCCAACAGGTACATGGTTGGACCTTCTGATACTCCAAAATACTGTCTCAGTGTCCTCTGGGGAGCTGGCTGGAAGGTCTGTGCTTATTTCTGTTGTGGGGAGGCTATGGCTGTTTTCACAGTAATTCCTGTAAGAGTCTTTCTGAGGGTCAGACTGGCAGTAGTGAAGAAGTCCATCTGGTGTTGTCAGTGTCTCCTGTGTTAAGACTTTCATTCCTCCCAGAAAATAAGCACCTCTCAGGTGGTGTGGAAGGGCTATGCTGAGGTGTGGATGGGCAGCCATGCTGACAGGCTGTGTCTCTCTGGCAGGGATGGGCACGTCTCTCTGCAGGAGTACATGGCCTTCATGATCAGCAGAGAAACGGAGAACGTGAAATCCAGCGAGGAGATCGAGAGCGCCTTCCGTGCCCTCAGCTCTGAGGGGAAGCCCTACGTGACCAAGGAGGAGCTCTACCAGGTGGGTATGGGCTGTTGCCCACCAGTGAGGGACTGATGGAAGCTTTTTGTTCCTAGATTGTTAACCAGCACTAATTGCTTGGAGGTTCATGTCACTGTAAGTGAGTCAGTTCTGAACCTGCCAGGGTCTCCTCTGTAGCAATCACCGAAGTGGTAGTAACAATCCCACCCAGTTGCTTTCTGGGCTCTGTAGAGGAAGAGGAAAAGCTTTAACTACCAAAGAACTACTCAGAATGAGTAAAGCAAGTTATTCAAAGGCCTGGGAAGGGGCTTCATTCCCTGTGTCTCTTCTCTGGAGCTCACACTTTACTTTTAATTGTTTGGGAAACTAGAGGGAGATGTTTCTCCAGACAGAGATTCAGAGAAACTTGAGCTCAAGCTTAAGACAGTAGGAACGTCTCCTCCCTTTCACGGCCCTGCCAAGACAGCAAGTTTTTCCTGTCTGAGTCCCACCACTTGGCAGAGAAATAAAGAGGTTGCACTGCTTCCTTGTATCGGTTACCTGCTCCATCTTCTCTTTGGTGGGAAGACTAAGGTCAGACCTGCCAACCGTCAACCAAGTAGCATTTGAACAGCCAGAACATTTCCATGCTTGGTGTAGTTTTTCTGCTCTGGCTTCTGCCCTGAGTTGTGCTCCCTGGGACTGGGAAGGCAGCTGTACATGCCCCATCCAGGGCCTCAGGGTGCCCGTGCCCACCTCTGCCCTGTCTCTCTTTCAGAACCTGACCCGGGAACAAGCCGATTACTGCATCTCTCACATGAAGCCCTACATGGATGGCAAGGGCAGAGAGCTTCCCTCTGCCTACGACTACATAGAATTCACACGTTCACTCTTTGTGAATTGATCTCCAACACTAGTACCAAAAGATGCAAAGAACATGCTCACGTTTGCTGACTGTAGCTCTGCATGTGTCTCTCTCTCTCTGTGCTCTACCATAATCAATGTTACTTTATGATGTAACCTTAAACTGCTTAGCATAAGATTCTTAGGGAAAACAACCATGTTGCAGTGTGCTTCAATAAAAGTTACTGGTCGAACCACATTGTCTCGTGTTTAATGGTTAAATGTAAGTTCAGTTGTTCCATGGATGAAACTCCAGCTGTCAGGGTTATGTGTGTTTTCCCAACACTGTGTAAGAGGTGAGTGGGCAGCTTCTCTTGGAGCTAGAGTAGTCCCAAGCTTCACACAGTGGTTGTGTTGCTGCCTTAGTCCGTGCCCTCGCTGGCCAGCTGCTCCAGGAGGCTCCTTTCCCTGGATCCCTGCTCAGTGAAGTCAGAACTCAGCTGCCAGACTCTGACGGTACCAGCAGCGTCCCCTGCCGCCAGCAGCCCGGTGTGCTTGGGGTTGAACTCCAGGCAGTACACCGGGCATTCTCCCTCCCCCTGCTTCATGGAAACTGCAGGCTTCTGGGAGCTCTTCTCAAAGTCAAACAGGTGCACAGCTCCTAAAAACGGGAACATTTATTGCAGCTTCATGGCAAGGAAGTTTGTACTTAACAGCAGGTGAGTCATCTGCTTCGTCTGAACTTCAAAGTTGTTCTTTTTAACCTGTTTCCCCTCTCATGGTGTCTAGGCTGTGGCAAACCAGTGTCCAGGAAGCTGGAAATAAGTCTTAGCTACACTCATCCTGCCACGTGACAGCCCTGGAAATGGTTGTGGCAACAGCAGTGGAGGTACCAACAGTGAAAAGTAACTGAACTCATCTTACTAATTAGAAATTACACCGTTACGCTAATTGCACACTGCAAGCAATGGTCACTGCACTCTGCCTGTGGGAAATGATAATCAGCACAGCTGACCTGTACTAATTAATACCACAGTATTAATTTTATGTCTAAGAATAGGCATCTGCAGCTACTTGCCTTCCCCAGACGCAGCTGCAAAGACCAGTGGTCGAACTGGAGACCAGCGCACGCAGAAGAGGTATTTCCTTGACAGCTGGAGAGAAATGAGGGGCTGAGACTGCAACATGGAGTGCAGGTGAACTTGTCCATCAGTCCCACAGCTCAGAAAGAGGTTCCTGGGTGAGGAAGGAAGCAAGAAACAACTTGTTTGACTTTACTGCTAAAGATGAAGGACAAAAATCAGTGAAGGAGCACAGCCCTGGACTTCTGCAAAGGTCTGAACGTGTTTCCTAAAGCAGCCATTTCCAGGCTGTAGGGGACAGCTTTGTTACTGCCCTCAATTAAGTTTAATGAGGGCTCGTCCACCGAGTATTGCCGGTTGTGGGCCAGTATTGCTCGGGTTGTGGGCCAGGGATGCCTGAGAACTGCTGATCTACAGGCAGGCATTGTTCAGGCTGTGTTTGTCTCATGCAAATGAAATGCAAACCTGGGCTGTCAGCATGTTTCATGGAAACGTGGCCTGGGGCCTCTTCCCTGGATGGTGGGTAAATGCAGGGAGAGATGAGAGCTTCTAATTGAAATTTAGGCTGGCAAGATTTCTGATGGGCAGATCACTGGAGCACTGATGGATGCCTGGCTTTTTCAGCTCCTCCCCTTGTCTTTAAATTGCTTTTATTAATACCTAGAATGATCTAAGGAAGGTGTTAATGGGCCTACAGGAAAGCTGGGGAGGGACTTTTGACAAGGGCTTGTAGTGAGAGGACAAGGGGGGGAATGGATTAGAACTGGAAGAGGAGAGATTTAAGTGAGACATTAGGATTAAATTCTTTAGTATGATGGTGGTGAGACACTGGAACAGGTTGTCCAGGGAAGTTGTGGATGCCCCATCTCTGGAAGTGCTGAAGGCCAGGCTGGATGGGACTTGGAGCAACCTGGTTGGGTGGGAGGTGTCCGTGCCCATGCAGGGGGGTTGGAACTGGACGATCTTTATGGTCCTTTCCAACTCAAACCATTCTATGCTGGCCTGACTACAGATTTTTTGTGTTCCCTGGGTTGTGCCCACACAGCCTGTGTGTGCAGCTTCACCAGAGCCAAAGGGTGGTGTTTCTCCTATGAAAGGGAGTTACTTGATCAGGTTCCCAGAGCCAGGTGACCCTGTACACACACACCACCCAACCAGGACTGTGTGAAAATGCAGGTGTGGAGCCAGGCAGCGATTTGTGTCCCCCCTGCAGCATTGGTGTCAAGGCAGAGCACTTGCCTGTGGAAGGGAGAGCAGCTGACCGAGTACACGGGCCCAGCGTGCGGGGAGAAGGCGAGTTCTGCTGGAGCACGGAGGGGAACGGAGCTGCTGGAGCCCTGCAGAGCCAGTGACTGTGCTGCCATGGAGCACTTCAGGGAGCTGCCACCTTCCACACCCACAACAAACAGCCGGGGGTCGAAGTGTGAAAAGGAGAGCGAGGTCACACCCACGGCTGCCTCGCCCTGGCTGAGCTGGGAGGAAAAGAGAAAAAGTTGCTGCTGGCAGCTGCAGGACCCATCCAGCTGGTCCCTGCACAACCTGCACCAGCTCTGATGTTGGTAGCACTGCTCAGCCTCTAACTTCTGCATCCTCCTCCTCCTCCAAGGGGGTAGGACAAGGGGAAGATGGGCTCAAGTTGTGCCAGGGGAGGTTTAGATTAGATAATAACAGAAACTTCTTCTCTGAAAGGGTAATTAAACACCTTAACAGACCACCCAGGGTTGACCACCATCTCTGGAGGTAAGATAATTATAGATGTGGTGCTGAGAGACACGGTTTAAGCACTGGACTTGGTAGAGTTGGGTTAATGGTTGGTGGAGTTGGGTTGTGGTTGGACTCACTGATCTTAAAGGTCTTTTTTTTTTTTCCAACCAGAAGGATTCTCTGATTCACAGTAATTAATATTACTATAAGCAAGTTGTCTTCTCCATCCCACCAGCTTCTCTGCTGCATGGCAAAACCTTGGGTGTTGCCAGTCTTCCAAGGAGTGATTTCAGTATGGGAAGGCAGATGGGGATCAAGGGCTAGTGCGTGTGTTCAGAAGAGGCTTTTCCTGCCCCTTAGCATGTGACAGGTGAGCTCTGCCACCTGGGCTCCAAAGATAAGAATGTTTTTGACATCTCAGCCCCCTCTGAACTCACCTTCTTCAGCCCAGCGCAGCGAGGGATCTGCTGGGCCACCAAGGCAAACCCCTCAGCCAAGCCCAGCCGCCCATCTCGCTCCTCCCTCCACACCAGGACCTTTCCGTCCGTGGACGCGCTCACCAGCCGGGGGTGGTTCCTGTGCTCGGTGTCAGGTAACCAGGTAACCTGTTCCAAATGCCAAGTGCTCATGACAAGGGGACTGTCACCACTGCCCAGCAGCTTGTGGTCCCCTGACCTGCAGAGACAACACAGGAGCAGAGCCAGGCAGCAGCCCCTGGTCCTGGTGCCAACCCAGCTCTTGCTGGGAGCTGAACACAAACGTACGTGCTAGGAGAGAATCTGAAGACTGTGGCTTTGCATTTGAGGACCAGACATACCTTGCTAATTACATTTTTTAAGCAACCACAAGTATTGTTGGCTGCATCTGCATCAATGAACAGTTAGAACCTGGGAACAGGCCTACTCTTCATTTATCCTGAGCAGGAAGGTGAGTGTCCAGTTCAGCAAATGCCTGTTCAGTAGGTAGATTTGGGGGAAAAGAGCCAATCAACAGAGAACATAACCCCTGAAACAGAGCTTCAGGTAAAGCACCAGTAAGGTGAGAGCTGAAATCAGGGACAGCAACAGCCTCCTCCCCCAGCTGTGTCTGCTGGAGCTGTTCTGTTACCTGATAGACTGGGTCAGTGTGGGTGTCATCTGTCATCCCTGTCCTCCAGATCACCGGGTCTTCTGTTCTGCTGGTGTCCCACACCAACAGCTCCCCACTGAACAGGCCACCTGAAAGGACACAGATAAAATGATTTAAGGTTCAACAGCTCATGACAAATGCACAAATGAAGCTCTAGTGGAAATGGGCCCAGCAGACTAACAGAATCACAGAATCATCACAGTTGAGAAAGACTTCTAAAGTCACCAAGTCCAGTCATCAAAGCTTCAAAGGATTCACAGCTCTATAAGGGCACATGAGCTGAATTTCCTCCTACCATCTATCAGGAGATGATACAAAGGCAGATGTCACTGAAAAAGCAGTAAGTCCCAGTTCAGAAGCAACACTGCATTTAGGGGTGTTGGTGAGCATTAGTTCCTCAGTTTGAGGAGCTCATCACCATTAATTACTTGTGCAAGAAATCTTAAGCTTTGCTGAGAGGAAGAGAAAATATGATCTAAGCTGAAGGAAAATATGGGCACATTTCAGATGGATCCAAGGTAAGAGCAACCTACCAGCTATCACTGAAGGCTGGGAGGGGTGGAAAGCCAAGCACATCACAGAACTGGGAACATCCACCACCAGGTCAGGGCGCTGGGGATTCAACCCTCTTCTGTCCAGATTCCAGGTACAAACATAGGATTTTTCTGTGCTCCAGTCCCCATTGTCCAACCTGAAGAGAACAAAGCTGCATCTTGCCTTGTCTGTTCTGCAGAGAATCCAACCCAGCAGAGCTCTGGTCTGCCCTACTGGTCATTTAAACATGCAGCTTTGTGGCTTGAAGGAAACCTATGGTAAGGGGATCAAGAGCTGATGAAACTTCTCTGGGGGCTAGTACAGATACAGCACATGTCAGTGAACTTACAGAATGAAGGGGCCAGCAAGTACATCTCAGGTATGATTCACTACCCCAAGACCTACCAACCATTTAAATAACGGGAACAATCTAAAGGGCAGATACAGAAAGTTTCCAGGAGTTTGGGAATGAGAAATCTAAAGAGACAGCACTGCTGCTGAGCTGCAACCATGTTTCCTCTAACCCAGCACTAAAGATCCAGGGTCTGGAACACACAGTAAGGAAATATCTCACCTGGAGGCCTGACAGGTGAAAAGACTGACTGAGTCTTGCTTGGCCTGAGAAAAGCAGCATGACTGGAAGTCCAGGTGTCTCCACAGGAGCAGAGGACATTCTCCACAACCACCCAAGGGTGCTGATGACCCTGCACTAATCACACCACATGCCCCAGCTCCAGAGATTTCCATCCAGTTCTGTGCCTGTCATTTGCTCATTAATTATTACTCTGGGATGCTACAAGACACCGGCCACTTTTTTGTTATTTCTATTGTTTCATTCATCACATGCTTGTTGAAGTGTTCCTCTCACTATCATCACATTGACCAATGTGATGTGCTGTCTTGCTACAAGGAGAGGAGATGGAGGACAGAGAGCCACAGAACAGTGAATGGCCAGGACAGGAAGCAATTATTTTGAGCCTGACTTCTACTGCTTTCATTTTATGCTCTTAATTCTTTTACTGGTAGAGATCTGATCAAATAAAAGGAGTGATTTTCCATGCAATGGATAGCTGAGCTGTGAAACTCCTTACTGATGTTGTGGAGGCTGAAAATTTACATAGACTATGCAAGTTCACAGAAGGGAATTCTACCAAGGGTAACCACAGAGACAGAAATCACATTCTCATGTGAAACCAGCTGTGGACTGGGAGAGCAGAAGGGGCAACGAACAGACAGGTTTGCCCTGTTTTACTCTTCCCTATGCGCTCACTTATGGATCTTCTTTTTGCTGGGACTTTTAATCTAAGGAAAAGGTAGTGGAAGAAAAAAGGAGTAAGGGCAGCAGGAGAGCACTGAAAGGAGAGGTTGCTACAGACATTCATTGGATTAGATGAACATTTTGTCCAACCCTCAGTTCAGAAATTCTTAAGATGTTTGTTAGCACGTCCATGGTGTTGGGTGCAGATGTGATCTGGGGTTCTCAGAGACCACGTTAAAACAACAGGATCTTCAGTGAAGATAAGCACATACTTCCAAATCTCACCCACGTATATTTGCAAGTGAATCTGCTCTTTCCAAACAGAATTTATTTAGAAACAAATCACTAAGAGTACATGTATCCCTGTTCAGGGCAGGGAGGAAGGCAGAAGAACTAAAGGCCTTAATTTAAGACTACTCTGAGATTTCATGTATTTGAATATTAATAATTTAACTTGCATAAAGTGCATATCTCTGTGTCTAGTCTATTACTGCAAAGAAAGTGAGCACAGATAAAGCTCAGGTCACCCTGAGATGTCACATCACCCTCCCCATCCCCTCAGACACTCACCGGCCATACGAACATGCAACAACGGACCCGGTTGCATTCCAGGAGACACTGGTGACCTGCAGGTGTTGATCCTGAGCCTCTGGGTATGACAGTGTATGCAAACAGGACACCTGGAACAGATCAAATCCAAGCACTGAAGCTGTAACCTCCAACACAGGGAAATGAGATCTGTGTGTGTGCCCCTGCATATGATCATGTGGCTACAGTGCAGGTTTCCCTCTTACTTAGTAGTGGGATACATGGAAAAGTTGTTGAATTCCTATGGGAGAGAAAAAAACAAAGACCACAACCCAAATAAAACTGCTGTTGCTTCATCATCCCCTCTCAGAGACTGCGTGGCAGCTCTGGAAGGCTGTGCCTTTAGGATTTACAACAGCCCCCCAGGTAGGGGTCTAGCACTGGTTAAGCTCCACAAGCAAAGGTCTGAAGACTAGGCTGCCTGACACAAACTGCCTCCACTCCTGAGCACCATGCACTAAACAGATAACATCTAACCAGGGAGAGCTGCTGAATCACTGACTGCAACTGTTCCTAGAGAACTAGTCTGGCATGTTCTAAAGGGGCTGCTGGAAGCTGAAGATAAGCCTACACCAGCTGCAGACTCCTCACAGAGCTGCTGCAACATCAGAAGGAAGAACAGTTTGTCCAAACATGGCCAGGCCTGAAGCAAGGGAGAGAGCTGCGGAAAACAACTAGTAATCTATAATTATTAGAATGTGGCAAGAATGAATAAAACTAATGAATTAGAGCTGCTGCAACCAGCTCTGCTTGAGTCATGACAAGGAGCAGAATTCTGTCCACTTACTGTTTTGTTCTGATCTGTCCAGTTCACTTCAAAGCCATCGAAGGCCCGGCTTTTGGAGTTCTTATTGAGCTCTTTGATAACAGCATCCTCTACTCTCTGAAGGAACGACAGAAGGCTTGTGTAATCTACTTGGACTTCTTGCTGCAAGTCCTGGACAGCATCTTTACTTTGATCTGTCTGGACACTGGCATCTCGGCTAGTGTGAGATTGTACTGCAGTTTCTGCTGTTGAAATTTTCCCAGTCTGGCAGCTTTTCTAGGAAAATAAGACAGATACTCTGTAACCCAAACAGAAAAAGTGCTGCACGAAGCATTCAAAGCATCTTCCCCTTGTTGGCATTTCATAGAGACACTCCAGCACATCTGCACACCTCTGGGTGCTTCTGTAACCACCTGGGTGTCACTCAGGTATTTGTGACTGTCACACGATCAGACACGTCTGGATGTCAGTCGAATTCTGGCCGTGAGCTCTACAGCACGGAATGGGGAGCAGAAAAGACAAAAAAAAGGCAGGGAGACTCCTGAGGAACGAGCAGACATTGAACGAGCCTGACACGCACTGCAGCATCAGCTCTGAAACTACTTTGTGTCAGCTGCACGTGTGCTTCTTTGCCACTTTCTAGAAATGACCTCAATTAGTAAAAGAAGGGGCAGAGCCAGCGGGCAGACACCAGCACCTGGGGACCCACCTGCCCCCGGCTCTGCCCCGGGGCCGGGCACCGTGGGGAAGGTCTTGGTCCCGGGCCTGCCTAGAGGAGCGGGGCCTGTGGGAGGTTCATAGACGGGCAGTCCCTCAGCGGGGCCGGCAGGGAGGGCAGCGCAGGCCGCTCCGGCCGCCGCCTCCGGCCC